TAGCTGACGTCAAAACTGAATCTTCAAGCCCTGCAAACATGACTGGGACTTGCGGAAAATGATTTAACCATTTAACAATAAATCTAAATAACATCCTAACAAGTCAAAAGTTTTTATAACAATAAAAGATGAATAGTATAAAAATAGACTTTAGAAAACATCATTTGGGATTAATGTAACGCTTATTACTACAGACTTAAGGGATAGTTTTAGACTACTTGTCTTTGGGATGATCAATTCTGAACCTGAAACAAGAAACATTACTTTTAAAATCATAATTACTTAAGGTGTAATTACGTTATTACGGGACCTCTATTAAGTCTGTATGTCCAGCTTTCCTACATCTTTGTTTGAAAGAAAATGTTTCTTTGTTTATAGCAAATTGTTAGATTTAAAATCTTTCCGCCAAATTCGTCACGTCACACTATTATTCTCATTAGTATATTTGATTGATATACTCTATTTATTTTGATACATTTACTATAATTCGACCGGAACTGTTGATTTTCATTCGACTGTGTGATATCCGTGGAGACATGTGGTCACGTTTAGTTTGTTATATTTTTGTATATAGTAATCCTTGTATTTTTAATCAATCATTATGAATAAATTAATTGTTTATTTATAATTAATTACTACTCAATCACCTGCTTCCCTGCGAAAGCATCTTAACACAAATAAAAATAATAAAAAACTTACCACAGCAGTATTAGCTCGACCGCTAGGATACAACAAATCGCCAAAAGTTGAACTTGTTGGATGTACTTATTTGCACATTGATTAGTGACATTTATCACGACTGGTTGAATACGGCACTCCGTGCCTGAATTAAACGGGATCGCCATGGCTGTACTTCACTGCTTGGAAGTAGAAAGAGGAATAGAACGCACGTGCAGATGGAAGGCTTTAATTTTAGGTCACTCAGCCCTTCGGAGGGCTGTTAGAGGGTCGAACAGTGCGACGCAATAGAAGGGTTGCTCTTGTGACAGTTTATGCATAGAATCCTTCGTCTAGGAGGAGCACAAAGGAATGAGATTCAGAGCATAGAACGGGTTCCCTTTGTCTTATGTTCGTTGAAAAATTAAAATACAAGCTTCTCTCGATGGCGCGGATATTACACAAACACGTGTATATCGATTGCACAACATCGATTGAAGTGTATCGTAATGCAGTGCATATTAAAATAAAATGAATCCTGGGGTTGATGCACTCAAAAAACAAGAGGTTAATGCAATTATCAAGCATAATGTGAACTTTATCACACACATTCACATGTTCCTTAATTAAATTAATTTGCATTGCTGATTGTCAATTTATGCCTCATTGTTGTAACATATCGAATTCAATACTTCCACATTATGTTCAGTACTGTATGAAGTTAGATTAAATGATACAGCTTATCAAATGTAAGAATATATAGTTTAACAGAACCGAATGAAAGTTCTAGATCCATCACAATTCACCAGTGTTAAATTTTGAAATTAGCTTGCAGAATTAGATACGGCTGAATACAAAAATACGAATTTTACGTCAAGGTCAATGAACGATCAAAGTCATTCGGCCAATGCACTGACGAGACACACTTACGGGCCCCGTTCATTTCAAAAGTTTTTGTATTGTTCGGAGCGCAAACCCAATTCCATACTTGATTATATTATAGAACTAGGTAGACCTAGGAGCATTGTGTATGTACAAGTCTTTACATTCTGTCACATATTACAGTACAATCTCTCTAAAGTTGACAAGTCGGTACAGGATCTCTCTCTAATGTTAACTTGCCCACTTTTTAAGAGACCCATCTCGCCTCTGCGCAGTAGAATGCGCAGAATTAGAAATTTATATGTCACTCTAGAAATGTGCCCATCTCTCCTCTGCGCAGTAGAATGCGCAGAATTAAAAATTTGAGAAAGAGAAATAGTCCCAGCTATTATATTACATATTGAATAGATTTTAAATACGCGCCACCACGATACCATTCTATTGGTCCGTTAAAATTTAAGGTGGGGAGAAATATTGGTAACATTAGAGAGATTGTACTGTATGTTAATAAAAAAAATTAATTGTTTTATATAACAATAGTTTATGGCACCAATGCAGCTGTTATCTTGTACTACGTCATTTACATCTTGTGGTTTTCCTTCCTACCAGTGCGCTGCACACAGCTGATACTTATACAATACCTCTACCATAGTTATTACCATATTAGGGAAGGATTCCGTGGTGGCGGAAATGAGTCCGCAGGAATCAAACTCACCCACTCCAGTAGGTATCATACTACGTAAATTCCTTTATATCTATTACACACAAGTTTAATTGTTCTACAATTTTAGAAAGGTTCCTAAAAAATTGAAAAACCTCAACCACTTTAATTTGACATCTTATTTGGAACGTTTAGTATGGGAAGAGAGTTCTTATGACTGGTTGCCGAAATGTCTATTTTTTATTCTGAGTAATATTTAGTTAATTATCTATGATAGAATGAGTTTCGAATATCTCTTACTTATTTATTTTATGTAGAATCGTAGCTCGAATTTGTGTTACAAAAAATAACGTTATAACCGAAATTTCGCCATTGTAATTTTGGAACGTTTCTGAAAACGGGCGTATTTGGATATTATTTGGCACGTTGGTTGGTTCGATAACATCACATGAAGGAACCCTCAATGCTGTTGCGTCATGTATTCCTTGTGTGAATCTCTGTGATCAGTCGCTTGTTGCACACCGATTCATTCAGTCTGTGTATTCTAGACCTATAGCACGGTCGTACATAAAGTTATTCGGCAGTTTGTGAAAAATATTCATCATGGCCAAACTTGTAAGTATATTTACATCTAAAATTACTTAACATACATTTAGTGTTAGTATATTTATTGAATTTACGCTCTAACCGGCGGCGATCGTAGTCACGATCGCGCCATCCTGTCTACGGTTTGTCGTAGCAGAATTAGGTTATCTATGATGATGCGGCTGAAATATCTTATCAGAAGTTGTGCTAATGACGGCAATGAAAAGTTTTATCTGTTAATTTACATCTCTAAACCGAATTTATTACCCTGTTGAGATTATAATTACATTTTTTATCTGTAATTTCAGGAGAAAGAAGCCTGCGGCTCTAGTAGCAAAGCTAACACTACGGATGATAAAAATAATACCAGTGCTACGTCGAGTTCCCATTCCAAAGGATTTAACCCTCACAATATGTTCTGGGCTATAAAATATAATAATAACGTGAGTACTTTTTGCATTGTTTTTAAAAACTGCGGACAGACAACTACAGTCATAACAACGTCACGTTTACCATATGCAACACATTTTCAGATGATTCTCTCATTTGAATAACAAAAGACTCAGGAACAAGTTGACAGTCTTTACGGTAAAATATTAGAAAAATATGCAAATTGGTATAGATATTTCGATTTGTTATGGAAATTAAATCATTGTTTCTCTATATTCAAATTTAGCCTTGAAAAGTTTAACGTAGCTCTGAAAACAACAATAAACGCATCTATTCCTGCTAGGAAAATCTAAATTAGACTTCCGGTCTCACGGTCAAATTGTTTTTCCGAAAAGTGAGCCTGTCTGAGTCATTTAAGACTGAAAGAATGAGGGCAGTGGGGTGTATGCCCTCTAACGTACACAACCGAATTATTTATAGAAGATTTGTTATCGGATTTATACCAATCTTTTCTATTATATTTTTTTCTTCAACGGCTCATCACAAACTCGTCACCACCACTGTTAGAGACAGCTCGAAAAAACTTGTTTGCGGATGTCTGTCGGCATTCCTTAATTATCGATCTGTTTCTCATCAACCTCTAGCAATCAGAGTGGTCGAGACTACTAAATTAGATTGATGTAGTTTATGTGACAGCAAATTTTGAGCCTCCACATCAGTTCTCCTAATTATAATTAATGTTAGATGGAAAAAAGTATGTGAATAATCTTTATAGGTTTTGGATAAAATAAATAAAATTTTATTCTCTTGTTTTAGATCCCTGAAAAAATCGTCATCCTGCATTTTGATGAGTTCATAATGGAGGTATTGGAACTAAACCAGAAAGAATCCAAGTAACTATCATAAGATAATTAAGCCAGAGATTTATAAGAATGTGTTTTTCAACGTAAAGTACATAATGCTGGGGGGAGGGAGGGGATTTCGGCACTGAACTGAAAAATTAGATCTCATGTTAAAAATACTCTTTAAATGTCGCAAGTAATAACAAGAGTATTTTTTTTTAAATTTTAGTAATTAAGTTGTCAAAATTGGTATTAAAATTTAAGGCTTGAAAAAAAGATAAGTAATACATAGTGTAAAATATTCTATTATGACTGAAATACGATTGAGGATCTATTTTTGTGTGACCTCTCATTTTCTTTGTCATTAACAGAAAACATTTTGTTAAAGAAATAAAATTTTTGTAAACAACAGAATACATTTTATTGTTACCCAAAATTATAGCAAGGATCGGAATAGTCTAGCAATGAAGCGTGTTGATATAACTAAATAATATTCGTAGCAAGTGAAATAAGTAAGAATTATTCATTCAGTAGTCTCAAGGTTCCTGGAAAAAAATTGGGGCATCTTGAGATGAGGCCCAATGAAATTGTTGCTATGTGCTATCGAATGTATGATTATAACGAAACGAGATGCAAATAGAACCGCGGGCGATAACTCGTCGCACATACTTGTGTATTCAAGGTTAAATTTTTTTTGTCAACATTACTAAAGCAATTGTGTCTTTATAAAATTGAAGTTAAAAAACCAATTGTTAAGAAGCACTGTAAGCTTGGAATCTATACTTGATAAAGTTGTAAGCGATGAAACGGTTACCGTCATAGTTGATAAGGATAACCTTGAAGACCTCTTGTTCCTCTAGTGGCACGTGGAATTCATTATTATTCTTTGTATGTGATAAAAAATAATGAAGTACCGAGCGGTCGATTGATATGACCGATTTTAAAATAGAGGCTCGAATTGGGCCGCATTCGACGCGCTTGGTGTTATGATAAAGACGTCTCGCGACAAACTATTAATTCGAATATTTTTCTCGCGTAATTCCAGTGCTGTTTTTATTTGTTTAAAAATCAGTGAATAAGTTTAAATTACGGTGAGTGTGTGTAGTTCATACAAATGTTGATAAATTCCTAATAGGTATAGTGTGATATAGTGATAAGCATAGATTGACGTGAAGTGCCTATTTGAAGATGCAAGAGTTACCGGGTCAGCGTGAAGGTACTAAGAAATATTTCCATAATGGATACTTCTATCATTTGGATCCACGTTCGGCTGATATTGGAAATGCCTTTATCTGTAGCTATCGCTACCGTCAATGGCAATGTCCAGTGACTGCTCAAAAGAATTATGACGGGGACATCAATGTGAAAGGAGAACATGGTCATACTCCAACTCCTTTTCAAGAATACCAACGGTTTGAGGAATTCAAAAATAAGCTCAAAGAACAAGCACGTAAAAGTACTGATCCACCCAATACTATCGTCCAGAAACTTAAAATCGAGTGAGTACTTTACGTCACTAATGAAATTTTAGTAATATTAATAGTAATTTTCGTCCTAATTTCATAAAATAAAATTGACAAACGCATTTCAGGTATTCGGATGTGGCTCACCTTATCCTACAAAATAGTGCAAAAGTTCACATTATAAGGGAAAGAAATAAATTTCGCCCTAAGCTGCCTGAAAGATTGAGCGATCTGGGAAGTTTGCTTGTAGGGTATGAACCAGCTCAAGCAATTTACCAAGGACAGGTGACAATATGTGAAACCAGCAGTGCAGTCATCTTTGCGAGTAATGCTATGCTGGAGCGCTTAAATGATTGTTCAGAGATTTATGTGGATGGTACTTTCAAGGTATAACTTATATGTTCAAAAATATTTACAATATTCAATATATACTTATTCTCTTGAGTAAATTCCATCTTACTTTTTTTCAGTGTGTACCGAGAGCCATAGGAGCCAAACAGCTGCTTATTTTGCATATGAGGAAAATGGACGTGGTATGTAACTAAAATACTTTTTCCTTGTATAGTACAATGGCATATTTTACATAAATTTCCATTCTTCTACAGGGTATTGCTAGTGTCTTTGTACTCTGTTCGGGTCAAACCGCTGAATTGTACACAGGCATTTGGAATTTCTTGCTTGGGCGGGCTCCCAGACTCAGAGAGAACTTAAAGACTGTTATGATGGATTTCGAAAGAGCTCTTATTAAGTCTGTAAAAGAAACCATGCCATGGGTCACGATCAGAGGTTGCTGGTTCCATTTTACTAGAGTAAGTATTAATACAAACCGAGAATGATATGGAAAAACTAAAAATTTTATTAACATGCGTTTTTTTACTTTCAGGCAATCTCCTTTCATTGGCAAGACTTAGGCCTGAAAAACGTTTCTTCTCCCCTCGTACAAGATATTCTATCTCTAGCGTGGGTTCTTCCTCTGCTTCCAAAAGAAGGTTTCCCGGAAGCCATCGAATTCTATAGAAAGAAAGCTAATCAAGTTGATCCTGAGTACCAAGACAATGTTAATAAATTCATTAACTACTTAGAAAATCAATGGTTACGCATAGCCGAAGTTGTGTCTGTATGGAGGTCACCGAAACGAACTAATAATATTTGCGAGTCGTTTCATAGATGGCTCCCACAACGCCTAGGCGTTCACCCCAATCTGTATGCTTTTATTGGTAAGTTATTTAAGTGAATGTAAAATCACACTTATGTTGTAGAACTTGAGTTTAATAAATAATTTTTACTTTTCAGAAAAATTGGCAACCATAATTACCGAGATAGAGGGTAACTGGCAAGACCTTGAGCGCGATGGGAATGCATTTGGAAAGAAGTGCCGTAAAAAATCTGCTATCGATTCCTACATAAATTATCATCAGATAATGTTGTTTAATAGAAAGTGAGAAGAACTAATTATTGTTATTATTGAGTTACTTTTATAATCTAATGAGTAATAAACTATTGACCATTTCTCGTCTTTTCAGAATCGATGTTGGTGAATTTCTTATGAAAATGAAGACCCAAAGTGTGAAAAATTTTATCACGTTCAAGCTGTACTCACCGCATAGTAAGTATACATCTTTGTACTTCAAGTCTCGTAAATAAGAGAGAACAAGACTGTTTATAACATTCATTGTACGTTTCAGGTGTCAAAAATCTCAATCCAGCAGATATATGTGATCCTGAGGAGCTGGTAAATTTACTGGAGTATTCGCAAACAATCAAATGCATGGATAGTTCCAATATTCAAACAATACAAATTATTATGGAGAAAGAAGAGAAGTTTGAGAATTCTGTAGAAGAATCAGAGGGTATACCAATACCAATGATTGAACTAGAAAAGCAAATATATAAGCGGAGTCCAATCGTACGACGAAAAAAGCCAGTTTGTCTCTGCTGTACTTCCGAAGCCCCTTCTAAAATAACCCCAGAAGAGATAAAAGAAAAGAAGAAGTTACATCGAAAATTGATAAAGAAACACCAGCCTCGGTATAAACTACCTCCATCCGTGAAAAAAGCTCTGAAGAAAGCCGAGAAGAAAAAACCGCGTAACCAGCGAATTACAGAAGATGAGCCTCGCTACAAATTATCTCCATCATTTAGAACTTTTCTAAAAAAAATTAACCGAGTGACTAAACATTAGTACTTAGTTTTAAGATTTTACTAAAATTTTGTAAATACAAAACATTTTAATGATAGAGATGTAAACGATTAAGCTGTGCTTGATAGAGTTGTAACTAACAATGTTTGTTACTTCTCTGAAGGAAAAATTTCTACTTTGCCAGTTACAACTCTATCAGGCACAGCTCAATCGTTTACATCTCTATCAGGCACAGCTCAATCGTTTACATCTCTATCAGAACAATTCTATCATTTGACATTTTTATCCTTACTTAATTTCATATAAAAAAAAACAATTCGAGGGTTTTTTAAATTAGTTTCTTTGTAATAAATGTGCTATTTTGCTATAAGAATTCTACTTTTATTTTTTTTTTTTAATAAATAAAAATTAATCTGAAATTAGTTGTTTTATTATAATTAGCTTGATTATAATCTATAGGACATAGACTTTTCGAATAAATTAAAGGTAGTTCGATCATGGATACGACTACACGCTTGTGCTTGAATCATCCTTTAACACAAAATGAGTACCTCGATATCGCACTTGTCGGCTCGTCAACGATTAAATTGCTATACTTAATAAAAGTAAGTCAGTAATAATTACTTTTGTCATCAGTCCAGGATGTAGGCAAGATGCCTTTAAAAATACCCGCTACCGCATCATAACATTCCTGCGGTTTTATACGTCACAATGCTTTATTTAAAAAAAAAAATCATGGAAATTCCTAATTAATACAATACCCAAGTCCACATTGTTTAAATTCAAACATAAACCTAATAGCTCGTAGTCATAGGGAAAAACGATGGTTAATAAATATATAATCCATAAACAACACTGATTTATATTGCATGGTAATTACGTTGACACCACTAACATGAAATCGAATTATATTTTGTCACGGTCCCGGACTCCGAACAACAGGACTACTGTACAAAATATGTCATAAACCTAAATAGACTCTGTAGAGTCGGCTAGTATTTGACGAAATATTACCCGACATAATTTATTCAAATTAATGGCCTTTGTTCATTCGGAAAAGAAGGAATTAGTTTGTGTTAAAACTCATAACAATCTTTGTTAGACATATGTTACAAATTGCGTCATTTTCTGTGTTAATATAACTAGGCATTGTTTCCATAACGACATTATGGTGAACGCACAAAATATAATGTCACGTTCTATAAATATTTATTGTAACATATTATCCTGTTATTGTGTGACCATATTTATACAAAGCCGTGTTTCGAAGATTGGTGAAAGATTGGAAACCAAGCTTCCGAATGTTAGCGTAGAATTAATATAGATATAATGCTTTACAAATTATCTTTCTATGATGAACAAGTCGTAAATACTATTAGCTTTTTAACTTCGAATAAAAAATATTGATTTAAATATTCACATTATTTAATTAAAACGCATATAAAAAGATTCTTCAGCAGGTTCAAAATACTTTCTGAACCTTTAGCCATACATGCAGAGAAATGTATAGTAAAAATTACCCTAAATTTTATGGTAATTTGGTGACACTGCAGGGTGACGGTAAAAATAACTATACACATTGTAAAAATTACTGTGCACATTGTTGAATTTACTAAACTGCATAGTACCATAAAATTTAGGGTAATTTTTACTATACATTTCTCTGCGTGTACTTCTTTCAAATTGGTAAATAAAAAGTTTCTGAAAAATGGTGGTAAAAAAATTTTTACTTAAAAAATTATCTATAATTATTTTATTTAACTTGGTTGAAACTTTATAATTTTTTGTTTTCTTAAAGCTAAATTGTGCATGTTATTATCATTTTTTTATATTTTATTTACTTCCCTCTTAGTAGAACTAATAGAACCTTTTATTCAATAGAAGTTTTTCATAAGATTTTCAATGGCACATCATAATATTACCAATGACTTATCAATGCATCATAAATTTAATCCAACAGAATCCTTTGGCAAGTCTCCCTGATTACATTCTAATCGCAAAGAGCAATTGCCATCAGAAAGATGTTTCAATTAGTTGAGATAAAGAGGAAATAATAATTATTTTGATTATCATTTAAATACTTCACAGAAGTAGATAGTGATTCGAGAAAAATATCTGTTAAGACTTTTAAGAGAGTAGTCTTGCTTCTGTTTGAGTTAAGGGCTATGAAAGTAACTACTTTTATATTTTTTCAAATGTTTTTTTGCCGAATCTATATCCATTGCCGAGACTTGCTGACGAATAGTGTTCAGTCTACAAACTGACAAATTTTATAACTTGACTAGACTTATGAGAGGCCTTGAGTTTTTTCTTGCGTTTATCGAAGTGTATTTTAATCAAAGCAGTAAGCGGATCAGAAAATTTTGAGAGTATTCCTACAATATTTGAAAGAAGATATACACAAATATCAACACTGGTAATAACTCTTATGTTCTACTGTTTAATAAACCAATGAAAAACTTTTGGAATTATTTACGAGCCATCTGATTGCTATTTAAATTGATGTCTTGCGAACAACTACCGAATTGGAATCATCTTAATATTTAATTCTTATAGCTAATATAATACTCCATTAAACTAACGATCAAATTTATCTTCAAATACATAATACATAAGCAACCTACGAATAACAATTGATCCCAAACTTCTTGGGTTAAAAATAACAACTTTCTTGTGTTTTGAAATAGTTTACATAGTTTTTATACACTCAAAGTGATAAATATCAGTTTTGCATTTATATAAGAATTTCGCTAAAAAAAGTTCGTCCATCTTCATAAATAATTCTAGAATATCAAAATTGGAAACACAGGTGTTCGTAAATTGTCGGGAGCAACGGCCATTGACTGCCGGGAATCTCAACGGAGGAATGACCTTGCAACTGTTCAATGTTCCATTAAATCCGGGGTATTATCGTACCCCATGTGGCATACAGGTCCCAGAGAAGTGCTTTAGAACTTACCAGACAACGATTCGGTTTTAAATACATAAATATTAGCTAGACATCCTAAGCTTAGTAGCCGTCGTAAAGTACACAGTGTAAATAAGGATTACATGTACGTTTAGCTGATTCTGCTGACCAAAATAATGTTTCTTGCGAATAAGGATTCTTAAATTGTGAGGTTGAAAAATATTATTTATAATGTCTGCAACATTTCACATGAAAATCTTTTTCTGTTTCGTTGAGTGTGGTATATTTATATTGGTATGGTTGGCTACAATGAGAGAATGGACCTGTGTGAGAGTGCATTTCGGAGGCTATTGACTCTGTATGTTCAGAGAATAACATTCATAAAGATTTATGTATATTTCTTTTCTTAGAAAAAATAACCGTTTAAATGTTTGAACAATTTTTAATTTATTCACTAATATAAAAATTCAATGCGTTCTCAAAATAAGACGTTTTAATTTTACATGTTTACTTAGAACCAATCATAATACTTTTATACCAGCTAAACAAATATGTAACAAAAATAAAGTCTATCTTTCTACCAATGTGTTTCACGCACGAACACATGTTGAAAATGAAATGCGAAATTTATAATGAAAGTCGTATTTATGTAGCGTATTAACAATGTAAACAATTCTCCTGCTATGTCTTAAACGTCTTTTCAAATATTGTTCAACAAAACGAAAAATACGAAGGTACTTAAAATCACACGATTGAAGTGAAACTTCTTTAGTTCCATCTTCTTCTCAACTTTCGTTCACCTCGCCCGATAATATTTTTCGTAACGCTCTCATCACGTATTCACCAGCTTACTCTCTAAATCAAGCGTAAGTAAAAACGTCTGACTTCAATAGTTACTTTCGACTATAAAAAGAAACTTTTAATCACTTAGCTTTTATGACGATAAAACGGAACTTACTCGATCAATGGAAACTTATTTCCTAATAATAACTTAGATATATTCATGCCCTGATTTGTATGCCGACGTTGTTTATTTTTAGACTTTTATGTCTGTCAGTTCGATAAAGTTTTCTCCACTCAAATTTGGCGGTCTTATTATAATTGGATATACTTTCAAGGTTCTCATAGTTGGTGATATTTTTGACCGGCAGATGGACAAGCAAGTGATCAGGTAAGGGTCCTTTTTTTTTGGAAAGTATAGAACCTTTAAAAAAATTTAATTCATTCACGTTATTACTTCCTGTAATGGCAGGACTATTATGTTAATAGATCTGCTATGAAAATCACTGCAGTAAAAGTCTCTATTATTTTCTATGCTCCATCTCCGCGTCGCCATTTTCACGGTCGGACGTTGCACTCTATGTTCACTCGATTTTCGTGCATTCGTCATGCGTCGATCCTATTATTTATGTGTATGAGTATCCCGTCGGTGCACGCGACAATCCGATTTATTAAAACAATATTCAGTGAAATGTGCCATTTACAATAATTCATCCATGACTGACTAATCTTAATGAATTACCATCTATTGTTTTGCGTTTTCTGTACAGTTTCGGACATAAATGTTGTTCAACATTTTGAAGGTTATACATGCGATTTCCCTATACTGTCCTATAGAAAATCACACAGCATGTCCGGTACTATAGTTTGTGCTCATGACAACTTAGTATTGTTTACCGATACACTGCACGCCATAAATGGTGTTTCAATTTGGTATAGGAAAGTATAGATAACCACATGTATAACCTTAGACAGAATTGGCACCCATGTCGCGAAGAGGGTAGAAATAAAATACTGAACACAAATACTGTTCTGTGGAGTTACTTGGTTCCAACGATGTCATAAATTGCAGAACAAACTTCTGACACAGACGAACACTAAACAGGTTATAAATTCAACCAAGCTGAGATTAATGCCAACCATTACTGTACCAAAAAAAAATGGGTTTTCTTTCCACGACTTTAAGTTTAACTTCAAGCAGAAATTGAAATACTTTAGAAGTTGTTTCGAATTAATATATATTATGAGTTATAAATAGTTGAAAAGAACATGAAAAAACTTGTCCATTACTGAATTGCAATTTTTCTAAGTGTTAACAGATCACTAAGTCACTTTATAGTCCTACTTTTCACTTTACTTTATGTCAATGAATTCTAATATAATATT